CTTTTTGTTATTGTTCTGGGTTCAAAAGGTCACACAGCCCGTTGTTTGTTACGTGAGCGCAGTCCACCGAAAACATTATATTTCCCAAAATCTAAGCGTCTGCATTTTCGAAATGCACTAGTATTATTCATATAACGTATTGTTTGGTTCGTAAGCCTCATACCGAACGGTTTAATACGAATATGTGTATTGTTACACCTCTAGAAACAAATAATAACCCATAGCTGTGGCGTCATAATGAGGTTATTAGGAGGTGGTTCAACTATAGTAGGACAGTATAGTAGCACTGAAGGCCCAGGTATGAAATGCACGGCCCGACGCTGCAATTCAGTAATACCTTCCTCCTTTGCAACACGTGAAAGAGCATCTGTCATGAGTTTTTTTACTTATTGTCAACAAAGACTATGGGAAGACATTGATGAGACCATTAACAATGCTTGTTGGTAGAATCAGTTCACTGTTGGTTTTGATTTCACAAGGACTTTCATGGGACTTGTTCACAAGACAATATAGAATCTTGCTTAACATATCTTTTAAGGTTAGGCAGAGCAGCTAAAACCATGTGGTCAAGGTTAGGGAAAAGGTTAAATGATGAAAATGTCAATAATGTCTAGAAACTGCAGGTAAACCCAGGGAGCTGCTCATGCACCCAACTACCACTACAACTTTGAGCTGGTGATATACTTGCTTTTACCTACGAGTTCCCGTGAGCATGATGGTGCCTCTTGTATCCTGCAACTGTTTGGACTGTTGGTTGTGTACTGATCTTGGAACCTATTGGCTATCGGCCTGGCGACGGATAAGCTTTAGAGGCAAGGAGATATATTGTACTTCTGGGGCTCTGATATAGGCGAATACCCGGGGCCAAGACTTATTTTGGACAGTTTATCTGTGGACCGTGTGCAGGCTAAACCACTGGTCGATTGGACAGAATAAGTACGAGGCACCAGTCTTCTTCTCACACATGCTGAGTCCTCATTGAACCGTGGCCAAACTGGTATGTGGCGTTTTGTTGTAAAGCGGTCACATTGCTGTCACTCTCACTCCATTTTCCCCCTTCATACCTCCCACTATCCATACAGAGGAAAAGGAAAGCAAAAATCCTTTTTAACATTTTTGCGCTTTCTTCATCGACTTAATTTTCCTTGTCTTGCTATCCATCTCCCCAGCACTCTCTTTTTCCACTCTCTGGTCCCTGCTGCTCACCGTCTGTCTTTGTCATTCACTCCTCATCAGTGTTGCCTGACTTGCTCTGTGATGCATGTACCCCAAGAGACTTTCGCTCCCCCTGCATTCTTCTATTCTAGTGTGTACCAAGAGAGGTATGCAGCAAAAAAATAAAACACATAATGGAATCACAACTGTGCACTTTTATTTAATCATGCAATAAGGACAAGAAATTACATTTGATGGAAATTGCTCTATATATAGCGTTTAGGTTAATGTATCCTTTATACTGGATTTGATATTATGAGGTGTAGGAATATATTGACTGTGAGCATGTGATCAATATGTTTATGTGATTACAACATTATTCAATATACAGCGAGTACTTGCTGCTTTGCCTCTGGTTTGAATGGTTGATTTTAAATCCAGTGTTAGTACAGTAACACCATCTAGTGGATACAAAGCTAATTACTGCTTTCCTAAAGCAGTGATTCTCAACTGGTGGGTCGCAGACCCTTTTTCAGTGGGTCGTGGGCCTTTGCCTGAAAAAAAAAATATATATATATATCTTGTGCTTTTATTTTGAAGGGGATTTTTTAAGCAGCGGAGTTATTCACACTCCTTAACAGTATTTGGTGTTAATGCCTTGTAATGCTATTAGACATCTGCCATTTCACAGTATAGAACAGGGGTCACTAACTGGCAGACCGTGGTTGTTTTCAGACCCAGGACCTAAAACCGACAAATAATTGAGAATTATTAAATTTTGATGTAGCGCTTCTATTTTTAACCGGCGCAGTTTATCTAGCATTTATGGCACTTGTTCAACGGTGCAGGAAAAACACCGACCAATGTGTTGTAAATCACGTGATGCAGCTCAGCCAATCAAATATGGGTATTCTGACACGTTTCCTCACTCGAGTGAGACGTACACACACCGTGACACACGGGGGAGAGACGAGGATATAGATAGCAGAGCAGGACAATTATTATGTTAATTGCGAAAGTCAAATCACAAAATATCCTCCAGAGGAGAAAGATTGCCAGAGAGACCTAAGTCTTTGTCAAAGATTGTACAGACTTGTATAGATGAATTCATCCCACGGCTGGCTTGAAATATGTCTCATATGGAGCAAATGTACCCACTCACATCTGAAATGAAGACACTTCACACCTGAATGAACTGAATTTAAAGCTGCAGGACAATTCAGTGAAATAAATTTTTCTAAAATGAATTACTTTATTTTAAGATTCACATTTATTAAAAGCTTTCCGTTATGTAATTTATTCTTTAATCCAGCCCTTATTGTACTTGAAATGAGAAGAACATTTATTTATGTATTTCTATGTATTATTTATAATCCATCCAGTTAAATTTGAAAACTGAAAATAATAATTGTTCAAATATAATTGACGTGTACTTTATTTGATTTGACAGTTGTTTACAACACAGAGACGTTACTACTACT